CTGATCCAATAACTGAACCTAAAAAAAAGGTTTGGTGGTGCAGCCAAGAAACGACTGAGTCGTCTCCTCAAGAGTGGGGCCTTGCACCAAATTCTTGGGCAGCGTACCCAGAATCTGTCTCAGGTGGAGGAAAAAACCCCCCGTGAGCAGGTTACCAAACGTTTGCGCTCAAGTGACCATCTGACCTGAAAGACCACTCACCATACAAACTAATCGGTTTCGTTAAGAAGCTGGGTTTATTTGGTCGAGTGTGAATAGGTGTTAGCTACAATAAACCCTTGCGGGTTGCGGTGGAGAGTCGAATAGACACACTCACTTTGGACCTAACCTAACCAACAGTAGGACTGTATGAGGCAGGTGATACTTGACTGTCCGGGGTTGTCATTACCAGAATGCTGTGATTTACAGTGTCATTCATATAGCACCAGAAATAGCCAGGCAAGCTTGCTTCTTTACACTAGAATAGCGTAGGCAAGCTATTCCCTGTATAGCTTTCGTCCACCTAGTAATTTCTTTGTACATGATCACATATATACAATGAATTTGATTAAGCCCTAAGCCCCAAGATTTTTACAGATCTTACATGACCATCGGGGTAGTCTTGTTTGAAGTGAGCATTCCATATGAGTTTATATCGAGGATAATACCTAGATAGTGCATTTCCACCTCAAGACACTGAAGAAAACTGGAGTTGAATTAGCAACATTAATTCTCCTGCTGAAGGGGACTTTTACAGTATTGCCAGGATTTACAGACATCTGTGTTTTCTGGCACCATCTATGAATGTTCTTTGGAGGACATTAGAGACTACCCTCCCAGAAATGAAATAGTTCTTGCAAAGATCACAAGGTCTCCAGCATAAGCTTGTAGATGTATCTTTTTTGTTTTGTTAAAAACAACAAATAAACTTTCCATCAGAAGTGACCACAGAAGGGCGGACAGTAATCCACTCTATGAGTAATCTCTGGTGATCTTGAAGCACATGGCCTCATCTAACAACGGAATATCAGGCACCTTCTCCAATCGTTCGTCATACAACGGAAAACGTTGGAATAACCCTCCAGGGCAAGGTATTAGTTCTAAATGAAACCACATGTTAAAGTGCCAAAAGGATATATGACTTTCATTATACTCAGTGTACTATGTAAAGTACTGTTCCCGAGTAGAGGACTGGATCCTCCGGGAGAAGAAAATATTAAGAGCAGATAATTGTTGGTTCACAGATAGATCAAAAACAGCTTCCGGTTCTGGTGCAGGTGTTTTCAGTCGCAGATCCAGGACAGAGGTATCAACCTGCCTAGGAATCTATGCAACTGTATTTCAAGTGAAAATTTACGCTATTGAATTGTGTGCGGATAGATTGGAAGAAGCCAACGTCATGCATATTCCCGGTCAGTCAAGCGGCGTTGGAAGCTCTTAGCTCCTACCGAGCAACGTCTAAATTGGTAGCAAATTGCCAAAAACGACTCTCCTCGATAGGAACAGATTGTCTTTGGTCTGGATTCCGGGCCATACAGGCCTGGAGGGCAATGAGGCTGCCGACTCCCTTGCAAAGGAGGGTGCCGCAAGCAAATTCATCGGACCAGAACCTGTCATTGGTATCGCTTTAGGCTTTGCCAAACAAAGATTGAACATCTGGATAGCGAGAAGATTTATGGACTTCTGGCAGAATCTTCCAGGCCTGGCTCACTTCAAGGCGTCTATTCACCCTTTGTGAATAGACGCCAAACAGTTGTTGGACTACAGTAGGAATGAACTACGATGTCTAACAGGCCTTCTTACAGGTCACTATCATTTGAATCATCATATGCAGAGACTTGCACTGTCGAAAGACAGTGTGTGTCACCTCTGTTTGGCACTTTGGACCTAACATAGCTTAACCTAAACTCAGTGTCACCAACAGAATGAGATATCAGGCTCCTTCTCCTTGTAAAAAGCTTCGTCACGTCCATGCAGGACTCTATCGTCGTGATATAACTCCTTTCCCTGAATACTCGTGAGGTCCTCTATGTATCATGAGGAACCAAAGAATTCACACCTGAATTCAACAGAGGAGATAGACGTCGACTGAACCATCCCAACTGTCCGTCTTGTAACATCAGATCAAGAGTAAAAGCTTCCCAGTTCTTCAACAGAAGAAGACTAGAAGGTGTAGCAAGGAAGGGAGTCATCGCCTTCTCAAGAACAGAATATGTAATGAATCTGTTCTGCACTGAATTCTTGAGTACCAGCAGCAGGGGAGAAAACAAACTTTCCCGCGCAGGTCAGCAAATGTTTACGCTCAAACGATGATACACCCAAACCAGAGACGTAAATCTAATATAACGTCATATATAATTGCCTTCATAGGGTAAGGTTGTGGCGGTAATTGAAGTAGAACTCTTGCATCCTTTACATCCGACCATCTCGCCCAATCATCTGAAATACTTCCAGAATACCCTTATGGCTGAAGTAAAGGGTATTCCAGATGGACCACGTACGATTCCAGAGGTGCAAATTCCGGCGTGGATAAGTGTGGGTTACCTAAAAGGACATCTTGCTGAAATATGTTTAAGGAGACCTACGTTCCAAGCCACACATTTCTGCTGCTTACTCACTATCTAACTGACGAAGGTAGTCGCAGACTGTCGATCAGGTCCTCACTAGATTGGTGGAAATGTACCATGGCATGACAGTCTTGGAGTGGATTATTCTTCACAAGCCTGCCCCACCTTCAACAGCATCAGGTTTTAGCTTTTGACAGAATCTCACTCTTACCATCTGACCCGAAAGATCACTTACCAATTGAGGTAATCGGATTCGTTAAGGCTAGATTTATTTGGATGAGTTTCAATAAATTTGAACTAAAATAAACCCTCGTGGGTTGCAGTAAGGGATCAAATAGACACACTCACTTTGGAGCTACGCATCTACTTATGCTATTTGAATCTATCATAGATCTCGTTAGTGGTATTGGTTGGGTAATGGATGCAACTTGTGAACTCTTCTCTACTCAACAAAAAATCTTTTCATGAAGACGCCCACTACAGGATCAATAGAAGATGTTCACGAATAGCAATGATGACTGAGGTTCTCAAAGGAGATTCGTGGCACAACCAAGCTTCCACATGGATCGTCCCATTGTTTGAATGCTATTTGGGGAGATACTACATAAGTTTTCACTCCATTAGAATTAAAAAATGAAATTATTCAAATAATAATGGTAAATTACTGAATTTGACCAGAAACATCACTTTCTTCGAATGAAGTTTCTCGAATCTTTTTAGAAAAACCTAAAAATGGTTCAGTATTGAATAACTGTCAAATTTGAACCAGAATTGGGCCCTGTCAGAATAGAATTTTTGCGTTATCCTAATTCACCATATGTTCACCATTTCTTGTCAAAATATGATCTGCTAGGGAGTTAACACTCAGGAATGGTATTCGTATTTCTCTATCTGCAGCTTCCAGCGCAAGAATTAAACACTTTATTCACAGATAAATCTAACAAATACGAAACGGCTGGAAAGAGTTCCTCTACAAAGCCAACGGAAATATTCTTTTTGGGTTTTTTGCCGATAATTGAAATCTTACTTTTCATTAGCAAAAAAAAGAAGGCTGGTAGAAGAGTCAAAAAAAACCTTTTTTGACTAGTTCAAAGGTTGAGCTACCATATTTTAACAAAAGATCATTCGATTTGTCATATTAGTAAAATTTGCCTTCAATTACCTCAGAGCAATCTTATGATGGGCGATCAAAATCGGTTATTATTCTAGAAATTATCGATGGCAAAATCTGAACAAGATCGTCATGTGACATATCGTCATAAAATCACTATCAAAGATAAACGAGGCTCCCCAAGTCGATCAGTTGCAAAGCCAAGCTTTGACATCGACCGCTAACAAAATTTGTTCTCTGTTTTTTACTGCAGCTTTCTCTTCAAGGCAACTGGTTGTACACTATAACCCGAAAATGATTCATTGCCAGACAGCGCTGTTTCGACCCGTCATAGGTATCTTCAGAAGTGTTAGGTTGAACAACAAATTCATAGGATTTAAGGGGAGACGTCATCTCCCCTTGCCTTGTCCTTCTAGGATTGTCTTTTCAAGGGCAGTTGAGTTCAGCCATTGATGGTTTGTAATCTCATAGAGGGTCGATGCTATAGTTTTGGAGTGGAATAAATGTTTATTTGATTCATTTAATACCAGAGTTTCCAACCCTACCCATCGAAAAAGATTTTATATATCCAGTTAGATTCATCAGTTCAAAGTTGAGGAAAATGTTTGTGATACTAGTCATATTAAACATATTCCATGCTGAACACCTCAAAATAATAGAAATTCTGTAATTGAATATTATGTGCACTTCCGTTGTAAATGTAGGAACTATGAAATTAGACGTTTCGTTGAACTAATTATCTCTTCCAGAAAATAATACATTTTAACTATATTTTATTCAAAGATACGCCAATAGACTGACAAGAACACTCCTAAAAAAATCAATAGGTGGATAAGAGGACAATTATAGTAATAGAATTATCTTTTTTTGAGAAAATCTCACAAAGAATATTGACCACAAAATCTATAGGAGAATTGTCAAAAGAAATGGCGTCGAAAATCAGTAAAATTATAAATCAGTAGTCGTTCAAATTGATGTAAAAGTTAGGTTGATAATACATGGATCAACCTCTGGGCCTATGCCAATCCTGAAAGATCAGTGTTGTGAGAAAATATTTGAGAATCTTTTTAATCCAAATCCCCGTTAGACCGTCATTTGGTGGCAGGTGATATAAAATGAAATGCAAGTGTTGATAAATTACTCTACAACAAAGATGCATAATCATTCTTATTCTAAGAGTGTTTTACATATGAAAAGTTGTTAAAAATTAAATAGTGTCTGCGGTGTAAAATGCTTTATAGTTGAATGCTAGGCAACGTTCACACATTTTACAGTGATTAAATGTACTAGAACTGATATGTTCTCCTGATGATTTCTATTTGAATTTCAGTTTATCAGTGAATCTGAGAATAATTCAAATTGAACTCAATGAATGATGACATGACCTGTAATTTTTATTACTAGGGCCAATTCACTGTTGAGAAGAATAAGACCATTCCACCTCATCTAACTGTCAATGTACCTTGTCACTGTCATTGTGTTTTTGAGGTTAGCAAAATATTTGGTGTATAAAAATTAGGAAAGTTTACCGTAAGTTCTTCAATATTTTTTGCCTTGGTCATCAAAATCGTAATATGGAATTTGTACAGTTAGGTATATAAATAACTATCATCTTTCGTTGAATGAACAGCAGGCAACAATAAATCTTACTCTCTATATTGATTGATTTTTCCCCAAGAAGTAGGTACTAGAGAGAGAAAATTATTAAATATCCAAGGTTCAACAACATTTCAAGAAGCTTTATTGGAATTCAACGTAATACTTTAAAGTATACTCAATAACCATACCAGCCCAATGATGTCATGAGTACAAGAATAGATCAGAAACCACTTTCAGTTTGTTTACAAAGTTAACATTTGTTTCATCAAATTTCCGATATTAAAAATTGTTATTAATTTGTAAAACAAAACAAAATACTGACATATTGGATCAAAAATTCTAGCTACAGATATTAATTTTTAAAGAAATCAAAAAATAGTTTTTTTATTTCAGCCTAGTTTTCAACTCAGTCCTCTAAGAAATGACAGTCCAGCAATATTGTTTGAGATGGAACAACCATCAACCAAATTTTATATCAGTGTTTTCTAGTCTTCTTAGTAGCCAGTCTTTGGTAGATGTCACATTAGCTGCAGAAGGAAAACACTTACAAGCTCATAAGGTGGTTTTGTCTGCTTGCAGTTCATATTTTCAGGTATGTTTGTGAATGCTGTTATGTATAACAAAATGAACAAACCTAACTGTCTTGATTAAACATTTCTGTTAAGAGTTGCTCGTGGCTCTGTATTATTTGTATTGATTGTCTAAAACAAAAAGAACACTGATTTATGAAAAAATTGATCTGATATTATAGGGTGTTAAGACTGAAATTACTATATTTTAGTATATTGGCAGTTGTTGTTAAAAAGGAGCAAATTGCTGCATAATTAACAAAAAATGTATTATTGTACTCATATTGCCAAATGATGTTGTGGCTTGAGAGCGAGTTTCAAAATATATATTTTTAGCTATATTTTAAGTATACCTAATATGGAGCCAACATGAATATGTGACGGTCTAAAAATATATATCTAGGAAACAAACACGTTACATGTAATATTCAAATGAAATACAGATAAAACTGCTCTATTCTGATAATAGATGATATCAAAAACATAGATGGGACAGAGAAGTTCTTTCATGAAAAAAATTTAATTTTGAAAAATATATAAGTGCGGACGAGCTTTGTAGTGGAGCAGGATTGGATCTCTTTTGTTGACTACTGCTGGCTGCTGCCGATGCAACTGAATACCATCTTTTCGAACACTTCGATAACTTTCTCACTGGTAGAACCTTCGCCAATCAGGACCAGGCAAAAATGGCCTTCAAAACCCAAGTATACAATTTTTATGCCAATGGAATTTATCGACTTATGTTACATTGACAAAAGTGCAATTATTCAAATACCGCTCATTTTGATAAAATTGATTGAGTATTCACCAAGATATTACAGTTCAAACAACTTAATATTAATCTCAAAAGGAACTGAAATCTCCGTAACAGATATTTTCTGCTTACGGTTGAGAAAAAGTACATCAGGCTATTGTTTATATTAATAGTTTCTATAAATTTAACGTGTATTATTCCACTCAATCGATTTAATCTTCCCTGAAGTTCAAGAAAACAAGGCGTCTGTTAATTTTTTCCATCTGACACAATAAGTTTGTTAGTCCTTTTAATACCATGCTGTTTTGCTATTGTTTATACATCAAAACTATATATTTATATAGTTTGGTAATTTGACTTATTTGTATTAGTTTTGCACATCCAAACGATCAATAAGTTTATTTATATATTAATAGACTTGTCTTTTATTAGCTTAGGATTATTGTCATTCCATAATTCAGTTTCATATTGTTGTATCTTTCTACTTATCATTTGCAGGTTTTTCATTAGTATCCGTTATCCAAGAATAATATAGAATTCCTATTGATATTCTGATATCTCAATTTCAACAAGTTTTTAAGCAAGGTTTGTTTTCAGTCTCTTTTCGCTTCAAACCCCTGCAAACATCCTATAGTGATTCTCAAAGATGTTAAATTTGGTGACTTACGAGTTATGGTCGACTTCATGTATCATGGAGAAGTTAGTGTCTCCCAAGAGCAACTTCCGTGTATTCTGAAGACTGCCGAAATGTTGAAGATTAAAGGTAATGTCTTTGTCTGTGTGCATTATTTTAGTAGGTTTCGATTTATAGTGTTTTCAAAAACATGTGTTTCTAGGCCTGACCGAAATCCCAGTTGATAATTCTGCCAAAAAATGTCAAACTTATTTAGCAGACAAATCTGAAATATCCCCACATCCTGAAGAAAATTGGAACCTTGAAGAAACAAATAGAGCCACAAGTCCATCTTCACCTTCCAGTAAGAGGTAATGACAAATCTTTTGGTGGAATGATATATAAGTGCAGACTGATCTAATCTCAAAAACTCGATTCAAACTTGAGCGAAGATAATGTTGAATGCCCTCGTTTACATTTATATTTGATCTTCTGTCTGTAAGCCTAGAGAACGATTAATAGTTTGAGTAAAATTATAAAAAAAAAGACAAAACTTCAGTGTCAGATAGATCAGAATTATATAAGTAGACTTGTGCCTCTTGCCCAGAACTTTATATTGTCCAAACAGGGAGAACTTTTTCCCAAAGAATTGAAGAGCATATAAGTAGTTTCTTGAATGTTAAGACAAGTTCCATATTTGCAAACCATTTTTTAGTAGATGGACTTGAGTTCAATCATGAGTGTGACATGTTACATTTAGAAGTGAAAAGTTTGAATATCAGTCTTTTAGAATGTTTAGATATAAATAGATTCTAGAATTCTGGTCATTTACCGAATGACCAAATTGAATTGAATAACTCCCTGTTACTGAATATTGTATCAACTGTTGAAACTGATAATTAACTGATACATAAACTCAAGCCATTTCATTCATTACATTGTGTTAATTTTAATTGATTCATTCTGAAACTCGGGTACACACTTTTATCATTAATTGCGTACTTCAGGTACTTCAAATTGTAAATTTATATATGAAGTATTGAATATGTAGATTTGAGTTAGTGTAGACATGCCTGAAGAAGCTATTGAATAGCGAAACGTGTTTTCTGATTGATTTGGCCGTTACTTGATGAAGATCCATAGTAATTTCATAAACTACCCAGTGGTATAATTTGTCACTGCACATTCAGTGAAATTAGCAGAAAGGCTAATCAGTATCATCTTGAATCATTGTAACTTTCAACCAAAATTCAGCCTACGGAATTCATATGACTCAATCAATAAAATAGAGAACATACCTCTACCAGACAATGCAAAATTACTATTCCTTGATCTGCAGAATCTATTTCCCAGCATACCTCCTGATGATACTATCACTTTAGTAATAGAATTATTAGATAAAAATAGAGTGAACCCAGTTATAAAACGAGAAATCATTGACCTTCTGTCATTATGTCTTGAAAGAAAAATTATTTTCAATTTAACAACAATATTTATTCCTCTGCAAAAGGTTTAATTATGGGAAATCCATTGAGCCCCTTACTTGCGGAAATTTTCATGGATAACC